TTGTAGCGTTAATTTTACGGCTCTTCTTCGGCTAACATCCAATCATTAAGCCCATATTAGCTGAATTAATGAATAGTATTTATGGACATCACTCATGAAGTGAAACCAGAAAAACATTTATTTCAATGTTTACTCAATTGTTCGGGGTCACAGGTTACAAACACAACGATTAGTGTTACGAGCTTTCGAAACCTTTTTTTTTTTTTTAATTTAAAGCGATTTGCCACTTCAACCGTGGTGGTTTCAAATCAAATGCATATCCAGTGTTTGTTTCATTTTTACTTTATATCCACTCAAATTTAAAATCAGCAAAGACTTTATCAATAATTGAAACTTTTAACTACTAACTAATTGACAACGAATTTCAAAATGATATTGTTTGCAAATTTTGTTTATTTTTTTATTTTTAATAATTTTCATTTAAAATATAATTCAATCTGTAACAGAAACCACAATAATAAAAGTTTCAAGGCCTGCAAAAATTGCAAAAAAAAAACTAATCAGACTTCAAAAAATTGTCATACAAATTTCCAATTTTTTAATCAGAATATTTAGAAAATTTTCGGGTATGCAGTTCTGTAGCGCATTCAATTGTAATCTAAGAAAGTGCAAGTCACAAGTCGTTAAAGATTACCGTTGATTTTTTAAGATTTTTTTTTTGTGGAGGGTGTCGCGGATTTTTTTTTCACATAAAAAAAAATTTGATCATGTGTTTATATGGAAGAAAATGCGCAACACCACGAAATGAATTCTAAAAAATTAACGGTAATTTTTAACGACTTGAGTCTTGCACTTTCTTAGATTACAATTGAATGGGCTACAGAACTGCATACCCGAAAATTTTCTAAATATTTTGATTAAAAAATTGTAAATTTGTATGACAATTTTTGAAGTTTGATTATTTTTTTTTCTTTTGCAATTTCTGCAAGTTTAGAAACTTTTATTATTGCGGTTTCTGTTACAGATTGAATTATATTTTAAATGAAAATTATTAAAAAAAAACATAATTTGCTAACAATATCATTTTGAATTTCGTTGCTAATTAGTTGAACGCGGGTGTATGTGCGTAGTATATGAATAAGTAAGTCAAATTAAATTTGCTGGATATTGCTCTGAAGCTACCAATTATTTAGATAGAAAAAATTTGAATTTTTCTAAATTGTTCTTTCTTTTTCCATTTCGGATGTCTATGCCTAGTTTTACTTAGACTCCTAAAAACATAACAAAGCTGAGTCATTCATTATCTCATCTGGAAGCTACAAATGTTTTTGCTTTGGCGATTTTTATGTTCTCTTACAAAGTTTTCAGATAAAAAAAAAAAATTAAAAAAAAACGATTTGTGGCAGCATACATTTATTCTTTCGCACGTAATTAACTAGAAACTATGTACCTACGTAGTTTATAAAGCATACATACTTACGTACATTTGCCATTCTAAAATACATACATATGTACATATGTATGTACATATATTTCCTTGAGAGGTTCCGAAAAAAGCAGCAAAAGTACCTACTATTGGCGAGCGCTGCTCATAAATCATGGAATACGACCAGCGTAAATACGTTTGTATGCATGTATGCAGAGTATATATTTGTATGTAGATAGTATATTCCATCAGATCCAAAATAATACGCATACGCATTTGTTGTAGGAGAATCTGTTGTAAATATCACCGCCTAATTATACACAAATATTTCTAGTTGGCAATGAACAGAAACGAAAAATTCTTTTCCAAATGATTACGAAACTCTTAGCATCTTTCAAATAAAAAATCAAGGCTATGCAAATATGTATGAACATTAGACAGGATCACGCTGTAAAGAGCAAAAGTAAAAACCAAACATTCCAATCACATGTATGTATGTAATACTTGCTCGTACTATTTGAGAATTTCAGGAATGTAAAATATTACAGATTAGATATTGAAATCTTCTAAAAAAAAGCTGAATATGGATTTTTCTTATATATTCGACATGTTTTCTTCCCGTTAAAAATTCGTTCAATAACAATTTTAACAAAACTTTTTTCAGTGGTAATTTTAGTAACGTAAAGTCATGTAAGCAGAAAAGATTTCTTTAAAAAATTGAAAAATTAACCTTAAACATTTCGAATGTTACTACAAAAACTTTTATACAAATAGTCTTGCCTAAATCGCAGAGTATTGCAATTTTGTAATCGAAGTCAAAGTCCATTTCTGTCAAATCTTTAATAGTATTTTTTTTTTTTTACTGAAGAAAGGGCCATTTAATTGCTATGCAAATATAAATAAACCTTTTTAAAATTTTCAATTATTCATTTTTTTTTTTTTTTACATTTTGTCATACGAGCGTCACGTAATGCCAGATTGATTGATACTCGAATCCGTTCTGTACAAATTACATACATACATACATACATACATACATAGATACCATTGTAAAGATCGACATACATACATACCATATGGCCAAGATGTTCTCTATCGCCAACAAAAGTTTTTGAGTTCATTTTAACAGTACTTGCTTTTGATTACAGGGTGTCGTTTTTAGCAATGTGAGCTTTATTGTATTACTATCTAATGTTCACATACATACATACAAATGTATGAAAATGTACAACAATCCGTGCAAATACTCGAGACAGCCCAGGGCGAGACGCCTGTTTAGACTACTTTCGAACTTATTTAACTAGAGTCTGCGACCATAGCCCTTTCGGATATATACGTCCCGGCAAAAATTCACTAAAATAGAAACAACGTATTGGAATTGGCTAAAATATATCCCGTCTAGTATTGTCTAGAAGATTGTGCAGAAAACTTACACTCAAGACGTTAAGTTCTCTTCTGATAGGGGTACTGCTTTTTTATATGACCTAAATATGCGTCCGCTGGGTTTATTTGTTGGTATGAATTTGTCCTGGTTGGTGTTTGTGGCCCACCGTCTGATTTTCTTTGGCTTTTAAAACTATGTCAAAGAAACCAAAGGAGGATGATATAATGGAGCGTGTTGATTCTGGTGACTTTTCTGGCAACGATTTTTCTGACGTCTGATATACCGACACGTATCGCTCCTTAATCGCCAAAAAAAAAAAAACGTAAGCGATTTTTTTTTTTAAATTTTATTCTTGATGCAGAAATACTCCTATAGCATCTAGATGCATTTCTGCATAAAAAATACAATTTTGAAAACAAAAATGTCGCTCGATATGTCCCACCCTATCCGGACCCCCCCGTTGGAAGTGGGGATCATCTTGTAATTTTTATATCATTTATATTATACAGTATCGGTTATATCTATAGCACGCCATTTCAAAGTGATATTGTGTGCCACTTATGTTTATTTATTAATTTTTAAGAATTTTCAATTCAAATATAGTTCATTCTCAGACAAACCCGATACAAACCCAAGCTTAATAATTTGTAGAAAGCTACAAAAAAGTGCAACAAATTTTCACCTAAATTTCAAACTTTTTTCTCGGAAGTGTTACAATTTTTTTGAGTACACAGTTTTTTAGCCCCTTCAATTTTAGTCTGATAATGTGCAAGTTTCAAGTTGCTAAAAGTTACCGTTGATTTTTTAGAATTTTTTTCGCCAAAGGTGTTGCGGATTTCTTCCATATACAAATAAATTGAGTTTATTCATTATATGGAAGCCAATGCGACAAAAAAAACTAAAAATTCTAAAAAATAAACGGTAATTCGTAGCCGCTTCAAGTTTGCACATTATCAGACTAAAATTGAAGGGGCTAAAAAACTGTGTACTCAAAAAAATTGTAACACTTCCGAGAAAAAAGTTTGAAATTTAGGTGAAAATTTGTTGCACTTTTTTGTAGTTTTCTACAAATTGTTACACTTGGGTTTATATGGGGTTTGTCTGAGAATGAACTGTATTTTAATTGAAAATTCTTAAAAAGAAATAAATAAACGTAAGTGGCACACATTATCACTTTGAAATGGCGTGCTATAGATATGACCGATACTGTATATCCCAAAGCTAAAAGAATTACTAAAGCCGCGAGGGTTTCGCTTGGTCCCCTGTTAATCACTACTCATGTCAGCTTATAAAGAGGAGTTTGAGTGGCCCGACCTTGAGGTTGAAAACAATCTTTATCTTCCCCATTTTATGCTGCTTCAGACAGTTTTTAATAACGGTCCAATGGCGATCTCTATGCCCTGCTCCAGCATAGTATGCTATCACTGCCAATCAACTCAGTCGAGGTTCCTTAGCCAATATCCAATTTACTCTACATATTTTTCTAATTTGTTTTGTCACGGAATATATAGTGCGTTTTATGACAACGTATAGCACACTAACTAAGGTGCCCCTGAATAGCCATGAAAACCAAATTAAGCATCTTAAAGCTGAAAACCAAATGCAATCTTTCGTCCCTCCCCCAACTAAACTTATGGAACGAAAATCGCTGCACAAGAACGGGGGTATCAATATTTTCTATAACGGCATTTTTTTTACATGGACTCGATCGGTTTGAAACAGTATGACTTGCAGAGCGAGTGATGGAAGTTTACATTTGGTTTTGGGCAGCTTAGCCGATGTGTAATAATTACAGAAGATCTATCCTCAATCCTCAGGACGTGAGTGTCTAAAAGAAGTTTGATTTTTTGCTAATTCAGTACCTTCCATCGCTCCTTGCTGTTGGCTTTCGCCACTACCTTATGGAGCTTTAAGGCCTCTATTGTATATTCTATGCTTTCACGGTTATAGGTTATCCTTTTGCGCCCCGTAATATTACTATACTGTGTTATTCTAATCAGTTCATTTCACCGGGCAAGAATAAAATATGTGTGTATGTGTAGATTGAAGTTCTATCTTACTCATGATCTTTCGACCATGGGCTGGTTGTCTTTGAACTTAGCCCAGTTTTTCTCCCTACATAAATATGTGAACTTTTTTTCCACAGTGTACCAACATAGTCTTTCTATCAATAAAGAAAAGTAATAAAACTGTTTGTGATTTTTATTTAATCAATTTAAATACAATTTCCTTTTGTCTTTCCGATTCCAGAGCATTGCTGATGCTGCCGATTATGATGATGGTGGTGATGACATAGCAGAATGCAACTCTTCAGATGATGAGGAAGAAGCCGCTGCAACAGAAGACGATTTGAATATTCTTGGTTCCGGAATCGAGAGCGATATTACACATAACTCTTCATCAGTTTGTGAACTACAAAATTGCCCCGATTTGGAAGAAGGTCGCGATTGTGACGCTACCAAGGTAACAAAATAATACAACTACTTGTATAAACTAATTGAACTGTCGTACTTATATAACATTTGGTGTTTAACTTTTTTATTGCCACCTTTTCTAAGCATTATGTGCATGAAGTGTTTTCAACTCTGTTTATGTTTATGTTTTGGGTATTGTTCACTTATGAAGCTCGTAATTCAGAACTTCTTGCGCGTTCCAGCCGTTCGTCTGCACATTAGATTAACCTGTACGCTACGCTGAACATTCAAAGTACAGTAACTCATCAGATCATAAGAAGATCATTTGCATTGCAATTAAGGGCATACGCCTATCTACTTACTTAATACTTTGGTAACTTCTCGCGATTTTAAATTAAAGATCTATTTACATATCGACACCGGAGCGGAAGATCGACCTATCTCGGCAGACAGTTCGAAAACGCCATACCTCAGAAAACTTTTCAAGAATACCCTACTTCAGAATTTTGTTGAAGAACACCCTGCCTCAGAGCTCGGTTCAAAAACGCCCTATCTCAGCTGAAAATACATAGACAATGTGCTGGGAAAGGGCGCTTTGGAATTGGCAGCTAAGATAGGGCGCTCTTCAATCAAATTCTGAGATAGGGCGTTCTTTAACCAAATTCTGAAGTAGGGCGTCCTTGGAAAGTTTTGTGAGATATGTAGGTCGATCTTCCACTCAGGCATCGATATGTAGATAAAAATTGGCTTTTGCTAAACATTTCACTGCATTTTCCTGCAGCCGGCTTCTCTAATTAATGCAAGCAACCGAAAGAGACGCATGTACCCGGTACTGAGTGTTGCATCTCTGTTTTGCTGTCTGTTAAATTTGTTCTTATTTTTACTTTTAATTTCGCCGTTGTATGTTCTATCCTGAACGCAACCGACACCAATTTTCTTGGAACCGACAGAAATTTGATTTATTTTAGAACCATCCTACGAGTTTCAATTCTTTTCCAAAATAGTTCGTAGATATTGATCTTTAAAAAAAATCGAAATTACTATATAGGGCGACTGCGCAGACGGCGACGACGAAGGAGAGGAGGACGAAGACGATATTCAGTTCGGTCGTTCCAGGCTTAGCTGGCCAGTACGAGGTAACTTCAGCACCGTCTTGGTAACGTTCGACAAAAGGGGAAGCTTTGGCGACGCAGCACGCGCAACCACTCTCACCGACTTCGAGGCCGATTCGGAAAACAGTGACTGGGAAACAACGCAACGCCAGGTGTCCACTCAACGCAAGCCATACAACGCCACAGTGTGCTCTAAGAAGCGAACAGAAAATGAAGTGATTTCAATCAATTCAAAGTCATTCGTCACACCGCTGATTGGCGAGGAGAGTGCCAACAACGACATTACCCTAACACAGTCAGACATTAACACCTCTGCGACTGCCCCAGTCAGCCGTTGCCACCAGGCTCAAGATGCCGTCGACGGCGTGTTAGACGTGTATGACCAGCGGGAGATCGCGTCCGCCAATGCATCATCGATGTCGATGAAAACGAAAATGAATAACTCGCACACAGATAGCGACGAGCTAGTCCCGATGAGCGCGTCGTCCACTGTAGCCGCCAATGTCACAACAATTTCCAACGCTAGCATCAACACCATCTCGACGGCAACGCAGACCCAGCAGAAACTGCAAACCTTGCACAATAACAAACAGGTTGGCGCACCGATCAAGCAAAAGAGCATCGCCGTCATTTCACCCAACAA